GACGATTCCTCCTGGCCCAGCAACAACCCCTCGCGCCAACGGTGTTCTGGGGCTCACAATCGTCACTGGTCGCGGCTCGCCAGGACCTGTCAGACCACTCCCGATCTGCCTCGTGGACCTGTTCTGAGCTCCCCCGCGCTGCCCCCCCCCCGCCGTCTCTCGCCAGGGCACTCCGCGACCCGCCTGGGGCGTGGCTGCACAGTTCGCAAGGGCGAGCGGCACAGCGCCATTCCCCCTTCCAGCAGAACTGGAAGTGGCCAGCTGGGCCCTCGGCAACGCCAGCCCCCCCCACGCCTGGCCGCAGTCTCCACTGGCCCTCTTTGATCCGACCCCCCCCCCTCCCCCGGGCCCGCGGCCCCTCCTGCTGGCCCGCCGTCATCTGCCGCATTGCTGCACCTGTTCGGTGCCTCCCCGCCCCCCTGCGCACCCTCGGCGCCCCCCCCCGCGCGCTCTCGGCCCCCGTCGAGTGCTGCCCTTGCGTTTCCGCCTCTTGTCTCGCCGTGAGACTTGGAGCCAACCGCACGGGCTCCGCGGCAAGCTGCGCCGCTCGCGCCTTGCCCCACCCCGGTGGTGGCCACTGCGTTTGCCATTGGCGGGCTGGTTTTGCCGCTCGCCGTTGGCTCCCCCGCGCCTCGCCCCCGGTCGCCCCTGGCTACCGCCCCCCCCTTCCAGGTGGTTGCCCTGCCCCGCCGCTGCACCCCCTGCCAAGGCAGGTCGGATCGCCAGCTTTCTGCAGGTTCTGTCCAAGCCCAACCTGCGGCCCCCACCCTGGCAGCGTGGCTCCGCCCTCGTCTGGGCCGGCCGGCCTTGGCCGTTCCCCTGGTCGGGCCCCCGCACCCTGCCTGGTGTTCAGGCCAGCCTGCAGCCCTCGCGCCAGCTCTCCCAACTGGCCCGTGCGCACTGCTCCGCGGCGGTGGCCCCGACTTGGCGCCTGGGCCGCCCCCGCCCCATCTCGGCGCCCTCGCTGCCCTGAGTCCGGGCCCTGGCCTGCTCCTTTCCGGCCTCCCTCCGGGGTGGTTCTCGCTGGCTTCTCAGTCGCTTGGACGGTCAATTCGATCTCAGTGCTCAGCCGCCTCGCTGTTCGACGTGCCTACACCCCCCCAAGGGCGCGTGCCCAGCTGCCTCCGGGCAGCCTACACCCAGCTGGTGCCCCGGCGCCGCCGCCGGCTCCCCACCCCGGCGCTTGCCCCGCCGCCGCCTGGCCCTGCTCTGAGCGGGCCCAGCTTCCTCTCCCCTCGGCTGCGCCGGGCTTCCTCTCTCTCTCTCTCTCTCTCAATCTCCCACGCGCACTACGGCTTAATTTGTTGTTTGTGGGCCCGTCTAATGCCACATCGCTGAAGCAGCACTTCTGCCCAGCCACCATCGGAAAAAGTTGGTGTGCGTGTGTATTGGTGCGTGTTGGTGTGTGTTTTGGTGTGTGCAGGCGTTTGGGTGTGTGTGTGTGTTGGTGTTTGTGTTGAGGCTTGTGTGTGTGGTGGTGCGTGTTGGTGTGTTGGTGTGTGTGTGTTGGTGTACTGGTGCGTGCGATGGTGTATGTGTGTGTTGGCGACCTTAACCGCTTCTGGTCGGCTGATCGCCTCGCCCGCCTGGTTTTCAGGACGGCCTTTCGCCCACGCACCGGCCGCCCAGGTTGGCCGTGCTCGCTGCGACGTAGCTTTGGCGCCCTGGTGCACTGCCCGCATCCTTTTCCGCGCATCGCGAGTCAGCAGATCCCGGCATCCACCTGCCCCAGTCGCTTGGCCCCTGCCAGCACCGCTCTGCACCCCCATTTTGGTGTGGCCCTTTCAGCTCCCAGTCACCCGACATGCCGATTTCTCCGTGCGCAGCCGCTTGCTGCTACTCAGGGTCAGCCCCCATATGGTATTGCTCCCGCGGGCTGAACCGGCACCTGGCAGGTTACGAGGCTCTGTGCTTGCCCATTCGCTGGTCTTGTTTCCCCCCCCCTTGGACTCTGCCCGGCCGCCTTCGGGCTGCCCTTCCCCCCAGCAGCTGCCTGGCGCCGCCGCTGGTTCCCCCCCCCCGGCGCCCGCCCCGCCGCCGCCGGGACTTGCCTGAGCGGGCCCGGCTTCCTCTCCTCCCGCCTGCGCCGGGCTTCCTTCCTCTTCCCTCGCGCACCGCAGCCCAATTTTCATCTTCTGCGCCCCACTAATGCCACATCGCCGGAGCAGCAACCTCTGCCCAGCCGCCGACGCAAAAAAATGTGTGTTGGTGTGGTTATGCGTGTGTGTGTGTGTGTGCGGGCGTGTGTTTAGACATGCATGCAGGACATATACAAGCATGCGGGACATATACAATGTATGTGAGACAGGGGGAAGGAGAGGAGGCGCGGCCCCACGACGGAGAGAGGAAGGGAGCGACATCCACCGCACGTGAGACAGCACACGGGTAGCAGGAGCAGCGGGAGAAGGACGAGGTCCCCGGGTCACACATTGCAGCACGGTGCGGCAATGCCTCCGGGGAGCCGCGCACCACACGCGCACGAGCACCCGAAACCCCCGCAGTACGGATAAGAGTGAGGGGGCGGGAGGAGGTCATCGGCAGTTTGCGAGGCTCGAACACAACCGCGATGAAGACCGCCGTAGGGTCCCCCAGTATGGTCCCCCGTGTTCTTCCCCCGTCCCCCGTATGGTCCCCTCGTATGGTCCCCTGAGAAGGTCCCCTAGTATGGTCCCACCGTACGGTCCCCCTGTATGGCCTGGAGGAGGGATACCCACCAATCCAACGTGCGCACACGCACGTGCAGATCTTAGCGCATGCGTCAGCCTCATGGCAACAGGGGCGAGCGCCCAGACTGTGCTCGATGCGGCGGAGGCGTGAGCTGTGGAGGGTTTCAGCCAATTATTGGGGAACGTATCCAGCACTCCGTCGGGTGAGATTTGAGAGCCTGAGGACTTTTCCCCTGCTGGCCTGTGGCACGCGGCCGCTGCGGAAGCGGCCCAGGGGCGGCGGCAGGAAAAGCAGGGAAGCCCCGGGCAGAGCACAGGGTCGGCGGATGGCACCGACAAGCGTTACGACACGAACAACGCATGGTTTACCCCTGGCATGACGTGCCTCGACGACTTCCGTCCAGGCTTCAGAACTGCCAGCTTCGTACAGAGAATCTGACCGTCTTGCCGGGAAGAGCCCGCCCTCCCCACCCACACGGCCTCCTCCTCCTCCTCCTCCTCCTCCTCCTCCTCCTCATCCGTTCCTCCTCCTCCTCCTCCTCCTCCTCTTCCTCCTCCTCCTTGATCCTGGGTAACCAGCCTGGAAAACGAAAAACGCCAAATGTACTCTGGGGAGCGGTAAATTAGGCGTCCCGCCCCCCCATGACGGCAGGCCTGGTACAGTAGGGTCCAGGGGGTGCGGGGGAGGACCTGCGGGACTGGCTTCTTAGAAGAAACTGACGGTTCAGATCACAGCTTCTCGATCAAAGGATCGGTGTCCTACTTACCTGGGGAGCGGGGTGGGTGTTACGAAGTACAGGGGGCGAACCAAAAATAATGAAAGCCTGCGCTCGCTGGGAAAGAAAGTGTCGCTCGAGCGCTGCATGGAGGCCACGCCCTTGCGGTCACATGTGAATCATCAACTTGCTGTCGAAGGGCTTATCGGGGATCAAGCGCGCAGACGCCGCAGTCCGACCTCGACGTGCGGTGACGAACATGTGGACCACGACCTCGCGCTCAGAAGGTCCCCATTCTTGACTGGCCGACGATGGTGGACAACGGCAGCTTCTTCTGCCGGTGTGCTGCTGCTGGACGAGGCGCCACGAGAACGCGAAGACCACCGCACAATGCCACCACGGCGCAGAATTACGCAGCCCAGCTGGCAGGCGAGCCCACCCTGCGCCACGGCCAGGGCCACCACCTACACGCACTGGCCGCCCTCGAAGCAGGCGATCGCGATGCCCTTCGGGAAAAGGGAAAGCAGCCCCATCCCAGGCTGTCGTCCCGCTCCTATCGGAGACTGGCGAGGGGGGCCCCAAGGGGTGCTGGGAGAACGTCGAGGATGCTGCCTGTCTGGAGCACCGCCCTCCTCCTCCCCCGCTACTCTTCCTCCTCATCCTCCTCCTCCTCCTCCTCCTCCTCCTCCTCCTCGTGCTCGTCCCTGTCCTCCTCCTCCTCCTCCTCCTCATCCTCCTCCTCCTCCTCCTCCTCCTCCTCCTCCTCCTCCAGTGGGGGTCTGCCTCGCCTCCTGCCCCTGCCCCTCGGAAATCCCACTGGAACCCCCGGCAATCCTCTCCACCACCCTCCGAACGCGAGGAGCGGGGATGGGCCCACCCCTGCCAGGATAACACCAGTTTGTTCATGATGATGAGGAGGCGGAGGAGGAGGAGGAAGTGAAGCGTGGCCCAGAGGGCGGTGGAGGAGGAGGAGGAGGAGGAGGAGGAGGAGGGATAGCGCCAACTGACTATACGCCAGCATTGTTCCTGGCCGAGCCCATCCTGAGCCCGGGATTGGCCTGGGCCAGAACCTGCGTTAGCGTATAGCTGGCGTCCTCCGATTTGCATCCCCCCTCCCCTGGGGGGGGGCCCAAGACCTCGGCGCCAGCGACCCAGTTCGCCCTCGCCCTTCCACAAGGAGGGGGAGGAAGGGTCCGAGGATCAGGAGCGACAGGAGAAAGCTAGGTCACCCAACTTCGCGCTTCGCGCCGCGCGAAGTGCCAAGCGTGGTGATGCTTGCGCTCTCGCGCCACCCCCCGGAGAAGAGCGGCTCTTCGACCAGGGCCACGAAGCGCAGAGCAAAACTGCTTTCGCAATCCTGCTTATGGTCTCAGATGAGCTAGGGGGCCACATGCGAATCCTACCCCTACCCCCCACGAATTCTGAGGGGGAGGGTGTGGTTCACTTCGCTCGGGAGCTCCCGAAACGAAGTGAACCCCACCCTCCCCCTCGCATGTGGCCCCCTCTGAGCATGACAGGAGGAGGGGCGGGAACATGACGTGCAGGGCACAGCCACGGGTGTTGGAGTCTTGGGCTGCGGGCCTGGGTGTCCATGTCAGCCCACGCGAGCCCTCCCTCGTCAGTCGCGTCCACGGCCCAAGCTGCGGAACTTCAGCACCTGAGGGGGCCCTCTTTGACCACGGAACCTGGGAAGGCGAAAACCCACGCCCACCCCCAGTCCCGACCCCAGTCCCAACCCCTCGAATCGCCTGCTCGGGGATGGGAGTCGGGAGTGGGGGTGGGGGGGACTTTTCGCCTTGTGACAACCAACAAGAAACGGCTATGATGCGAGGACGGTCTGCATATCGGAGCGAAAAGAACAACTGCACCCTCGGGCCTCACTCATCCGTGCTCAGCTTCACCATCCCGGAACCCCAATAGACCTCTGGGCGCATTTGGTTTAGATGGCTCGCTCTCCCCTGGGAGCGGCCAGCAAGGACTCAAAATGAAAATCCGGCCCCAAAAACCTCCTCCTCCTCCTCCTCCTCCTCCTCCTCCTCCTCCTCCTCCTCGTGCTCGTCCCTGTCCTCCTCCTCCTCCTCCTCCTCCTCCTCCTCCTCCTCCTCCTCCTCCTCCTCCGCCTGCCCCTCTCCCTCCCAGTACCCCCTCCCCTGGGCCTGGGCTGGGGGGACACCCATAGCACCAGTCAAGATGACCCAAAATGGCCCCAAGAGGGCTACGAACTGCCAAGATGGCGCCCCAGATGGCACAGCATGGCCCAAGATGTGTTACGATATCTTCCAACGTGCCTCGAAGGAGGCCTCAAAACCTCCACAAGACAGCTCTAATTGGGCACGGAGCCGCCTAATGAGACCCCCGAAAAGCCAAAACAATGGAAAAACCTGAGATTGTTCAATGATGTGTACCTTCTAGCCTTTCTACTCTCCCTGCGTGTCACTGTGTGTCTCTGTGTGTCTCTGGGTGCCTTTGTGTGTCTCTGGGTGTCTTTTTGTGTCCCTGTGTGTCTCTGTGTGTCCCTGTGTGTCTCTGTGTGTCTATGTGTGTCTCTGCGTGTCGCTGCGTGTCGCTGTGTGTCGCCGTGTGTCGCTGTGTGTCGCCTTGTGTCTCTGTGTGTCGCTGTGTGTCGCTGTGTGTCTCTGTGCGTCTCTCTGTGTGTCTCTGTGTGCGTCTCTATGCGTGTCTGTGTGTGTGTCTGTGTCATTGCATGTGCCGCACTGACACAGCACTGCCATTTGGACTCGCAGTCTGCGCTGCGCTTGGGCAATGTCGGCATTTCGCCCGCTCTCGCGCGGCCCCGATGCCGCTGTCACGTTAATGCGACTCGGCAAGCGAGCCATGCGCCGCGCCCGCGCGCGAACGCCACTTCCGAGCCAACTGCGCACGGAACTTGGGCCGGCGACAAGTGGCCAACTCGCGCGGGTCCAAACAAAAATTGGGGAGTGACGCAGATGCGCCGCGTCGGAGCGGGAGCGCCACTTTCAGGCGAGACCTGCGCAGCACCGAGGCGAGAGCGGCGACTCCTCCGCTCGCGCGTCGGCGGAAACGCGTGAGAAAGATGTAGGCCGCGCCCGAGCGGGAGCTCAACTCTCCAGAAGCATGAACGCGGCGCCGAAGCGAGAGCGACACTTCTGCCAATTCCCGCGGGATGTCCGCCCCGTCCATCACCAGCCAAGCAGCTCGCAACATGGACGGCAGAGCGCCCACGGTGACACAAGCCGCAAACGTTGCATTGCGTTTGACAAGTACGACGGGAGGGCCCGGAGAGGCCGCTCCATCGGCCGGCGAGGTGGCACAGAATAGGGATAGGAGCGCGATAGGAGTGGAGTGGCGTAGAGTAGGTTTGGGTGCGGTAGGGTAGGGCTGGGTGGATTGCAGAGTGGAGTCGGAAAGAGAAGGGTAGAGTAGAGTAGGGTAGAGTCGAGTAGAGTAGAGTAGAGTAGAGTAGAGTAGAATCGAGTAGAGTGAAGTAGAGTAGAGATGAATAGAAAAGAGTATAATCGAGTAGAGTAGGGTAGAAACGTGTAGAGCAAAGTAGCGCAGAGCAGGGCAGAGGAAGACAGATTAGAGCGGAGTGGAGCAGGAGAAGGAATAGGAGTAGAGTAGGAGTACAGTAGAGTACAGCATAGTAGAGCAGACTAGACTGAACTAGACTAGACTTGATTTGAGTAGGCAAGGGTAGGTAGGATAGGGTAGGGTAGGGCAGAATGGAATAGAGCAGGGTAAAGTAGAGTAGAGCAGCGCGGAGCAGAGGAAGGTAGATTAGAGTGGCTTGGGATAGGAATAGTGCAGGGTAGGAATCCAATAGAATACAGCGTAATAGAGCAGAGCAGTCTGGACTAGACTAGGCTTGAGTGCGTTAGAGTAAACAGGATAGGCTAAGGTGGGGCAGGGTAGAGTAGAGCACAATTGAATAGAGAAGTCCAGGGTTGATGGTAGATCAATATGGTAAAATCGAATAAAGTAGCATAGGGCAGGAGTGGAGCGAAGTGAAGTATAGCAGAGTAAAAGAGGAAAGAGCAGACCAATCCAGCCCAGACCAATTTAGCTTGGGTCCATCCAGTCCAAAACAAGTGAGCACACGCCAGACCAGTCCAGCGCAATGAAACAACGCCTCTCGCACGCGGAATACCGCGTGAGCGAGGGCTGCAAAGTGACTAACTCCCTCTCGTGCACGGGTTGCCCCGTGGATGAGGGATACAATGAGACTGAATCTTCCTCACACGCAAATCAAATTGTCGCGCGGAGGAAGACTGCGCAATGTTTATTTTTTAATGTTTTCAACAAAACAAAAAAAACTCGCACACGCATTTGCCCAAACCGGCAATGTGACCCCCCCCCCTTGCCGAGCGCGACCCCGGACCGAACGCACCACGGGGGAGCGGAAGGCTCCTAAACTAGCCAAGAAGCTACCAAAACGCTCCCCAAACGATCCCAAGGGACCACGATTCGCCGACATATCGCCCCTGGACGCCCACGATTGCCCCCAGGCGGCCCCCGAAGCTGCCAAGACGCCCCAAAAGGGCCCCCAAGATGCGCCCCAAGAAGGCCCCAAGAAACAAAAACCGGCCCACCCCCTTCAAAAAACAATGCGTTTTGGCGCACGCTCGCCCACTCGGCTTTCACAACGTCCAAAACGAGCCAAAAAACCAACAAGATCGCCCCCTGACGGCCAAAGGGGCCCCCACGAAGCCCCCAAGACAGCCCAAGAGGGCCCCCAGACGGCTCCAAGACGCCCAGAAGGTACTCCCTCGAACCTTCGGCCCCAAGACGCCCCCAGCCCCTGCTCCAAGAACACCCCAAAAGGCCCTGAGGGACCTCCAAGAAAACCTCAGAAGTCTCCAAGAAGCCCCAAGGAAGTCCCCAAGAGGACCAAAACTACCTGCAAGACGACCCCGTCAGGCCTCCCACGAGATCCCATCAACCATCCGCGCGGCCGCATACCCGCAACCCAAGCAAGGCGGCGGGGTGCGCCGCGCGCCATTCGAGAACCATTCGCCCGGTTTCTGGACCGACGCTTGCCGTCTATGAGCGCGGGTGCTCGCAGGTATTTCCCCATGCCTGCACGGCGAACACTTCGAGAGTCAGCCATGGAAAAACGCACTGACCACGCAGCATCCCTCCACCATCTAACAGTGCCCCCGCCTCCAGAGCGCTCCGAAGAGACCCCGCGAAGCACCCCTCATATTCTGACCCCTACCAAGCCGGTTTGCACCGACCGCCATGGCAAATTGCACGGTCCAGAAACCTGCACAGGGTCTCGAAATCCAGGGCGACGCACGCGCACGCTGTCCGAAGTGTCGGACATCTTTCCGAAAGGCCACCAGAGACAGGAGTAGACGCCTCCAAACGAAATCGCCACTCCTCCTTCTCCTCCTCATCCGATGACCCTCCCCCGCCTCTCCCCCATCCTCGCCCGCCTCCTCTTCCTCCTCTTTCGCTTTCTCCTGCTTGGTTTCCTCCTTCACAAGCTTCGTCCTCCCTCTCGCCCCCACCCCCGTCGGTCGCACTTCTACGGGTCGTGGCACCGGCGCTCGCACGGGCATCAGTTGCACGCCTTGCATGTCAGGGTGCCCTTCTTTTCGTCGCGCGCAACATGGCTACTGTCCACGGAGAAAGCCGACTTCGGCAATTTGCGCAAGCACTTGCCGCTGCAGCGATAGCCCTGCCAGCTGCGCGCCGTAAACCCGTCGGCAATGCACTCTGCGCATGCAACTCTACTTTTCCTCGTGAAATGTGCACTCTCCTGTTCGTCGCTGACGAGCTGTTGCCCGGCGAATTCCTCCGCGCGCGCTGCGCGCGTCAGCAGCCGCTTCAACCGCTTCAACTAATCGGCGACGGCTTTCGCAATGATGCCCCGCTTGGCACGCCTTCCGCGCACCGCTCCGTTTCTCTCCCGCTTCCGATGACGTTGAATTTGCCCCCCCCCCCCCCCCCCCCCCCCCTCAATGTTTCGCGTCCGAGAAGGCTCCCCCGCGCGCCGCGCGCGTCAGCGGCTTCGCTTCTGCGTCGGCTTTCCGCCTCAAACTTGCCGCTCGGCAGTTGGCTCGCACCACCGCGACTTCCCGCTCAAAGGCGCACTTCTGGCAAAGCCCCCCCCCCCCTGCTGCATCGCGCTTCTTCTGCGCTTCCGACGTCGCCGCCGACCCTCGAAAACCGACGAGCACGCGGCGTTCGAACGCCGCACTGCGCCGACGCCGTCGTCCCACTTTGGATTGCCCATGCGCGACTTCCCCCTGGCTTTCACGCGTGCACTTCGTGCAATACATGGTCCGAACCCTGCCGCCCCCCTCAGCCTCGCCCGTTACACCTCCGCCGATATCGCCGACTGCCCGCCTTCGCCCCTCCCCCATCCGCTTTGCTTTGCCCACCCGTCGCACGTCTTGCGCCACTCCCCACCCTTGCTCGTCATTTCTGCCGCGCATAATGTAGACATTGCTGGCCTTTCTTCCCCTTGAAACTCGTACTTCACAAAAGCCTCGACAAGCAGTCTCCGCCGGCACCGCTCGCAGCGGTCTCGCGGCATCAATTGCGCCTCCCAGTCGCCCCCAATTCACGCGCCCCCCTCGGAGAACCTGCAACAGCTTCTGCGCGCCAGCCTTCTCACCTTCGTTGCACGGATTCCTTTAAAAGGCCAGAAGATCAAAAGGTTCTCTCGCC